CTGCTTACTGCAATGTCACAAAAATCACACACACACACACACACACACACACACACACGAGGGGAGATTCACCAATGGAACTTCTTCCCCTTTTCCTTCTTCCTGGCTTCTTCAGATTGAGTGATTCTTGGAGCTGAACATTCCAAGCATGAATTCATTTGAAGCACTATCTTGATTTGTCAAAGGTACTGCAGAAATACCCAATTCTTTTTTCAGGAGTTTTTTTTTTTGACATCTTTTCAGGAGGGTTGATGGTAGTGCAGTAATGCTATTGCACAAAAGGAAAGGGGTTATGGAGTACCCTTTTATATTTTTTTAGGACAAGTTATGGAGTACATTTTCGGGGCTAAATGTGCTTTCAAGTTTTGTGACCTTTGCCTTTTGAGAAAGTTGTTGTTGACGCACATTGAATGGGTGCATCGACAAATTATGAGAGGCAAGCTAGGACTACCAGTGCCACTACAGTGTGAGGTTTCCTTACCGTTACCCTGTTACTGTTTAGACAACTCATGGAGCTGAGGTTGCATACAGTAATTTCTATAACAAAACTGCACAAAAACATTGACAGACACTTCATTCATTGCGAGTGTACTTCAGGTCCTGAAAGATCCAGTCCAGGCTATTAAGTCGCAAAAAAAAAAAAAAAAAGATCCAGTCCAGGCTATTTGGATTTAGTAATTTCACTACAATTTTGTTTGGAACAGTTCAATTCTTGCAAAACTGAAAAAAAATCTAAATTCATGGATTCAAGAATTTCCATCTGTGTATCGCTCCATGTTTTCTCTCATTGCTGCACTAGTTATTGTTAGGAAAAGGAAACACACACTGCTTTTGCTGCCGTGCCTGATGCAATGGCCAATGGTTGGTTCTTGCAGGTGGTGGCGCCTGCGGGTACGGCGACCTGGACATCTTCAGGTACGGCATTTTTTTTTTACAAACGGCGGGGCTGAGCGCGGCGCCTGTTCAGGTACGGCAGCTACTGCGGCGGCTGCGGCGAGTTCCGGTGCGTCAACCACGGCTGCCACGAGCTCCGGTGCGTCAACCACATCCAGTGGTGCCTCCGGGGTAGCCCCACGGTGGTGGTGACGGCGACGGACTTCTGCCCCGCCAACATGGGCCTCGCCGACGAGGTGGCCGGCGGCTGGTGCAACTTCCCGCGGGAGCACCTCGAGCTGTCGGAGGCCGCCTTCCTCCGCGTCGCCAAGGCCAAGGCCGACATCGTGCCGGTGCAGTTCCGAAGGTAGGTTTGCCTTAGGTTACATGCCTCATCTTGAACTGCTCGATGTTTTATTTTTCGTTTTTCAAGGCTTACAGAATTTGTTTCAAAGAACACGCAGAGCAACTACGCATTGGAACTGGAATTGTGTTAGCAATACTTTGTAGGAGAAAACAAACAGATTAGGAGAAAGCGTTGGGCTGCTCGCAGCTCGGTCTGTCAACTTGGTTGAGCCAAAGCCATGGCCCATGGCACATGGCGCGCTATCATTCTTGAGCTGTGCATCCAGTGTATATTTTTGAAGCCTGACACTGCCCTGCCTTTTGCGAAAGCCCAGAATGATGTTAGATGATTAGAATTGGATCGTAGAATATCCGATGGATGTCTGAAGCCACTTTGGAATGCTAACTAATGGGTATAGGAACCATCAGAGGTCTCGAAACCACAGAGAAAAGAAAACATCGGCTTTCGGTCAGTGGTCCTCCTTTTTGTTTTCAAATCTGACTTGCGTGTTTAATTATGAGCACTTGCCCGTTTCCAGACAAGTGCTATGAGTGTGTTCCAACTACTGCAAGAGTGCACGGCAAGTATCCTTTATATGAGTTTATTATGTCAGAATACCAAATTAACTTATCCTACCATTTGCGCCTACTGATCACCTTTTCTATCTGAACACCTGTTCGTCTCTTTCAGAAGAGGCCATCCCACTATGAATCGATCGCCACCATCAACAAATGGAGCTTTTCTTTTCTTTTTTTCGCGATATAATGCAGCTGAACTTTTTGGCATAATATGGTGGTGGTGCAGGGTGAGCTGCGACAGGGCGGGCGGCATGCGGTTCACCATCACCGGCAGCGCCCACTTCCTTCAGGTGCTGATCACCAACGTTGCGGCGGACGGCGAGGTGGCGGCCGTGAAGGTGAAGGGGTCGAGGACGGGGTGGATCCCGATGGGGCGGAACTGGGGCCAGAACTGGCAGTGCGACGCCGACCTCCGCGGCCAGCCGCTGTCGTTCGAGGTCACCGGCGGGAGGGGCAGGACGGTCATCGCCTACAGCGTAGCGCCGGCGGACTGGATGTTCGCGCAGACGTTTGAGGGCAAGCAGCTCGCCGAGTAGACGCCCAAAAACCAGTCTCCGGCCGGTGGTGAATGTAAAGTAGAATTATACAGGTGGGTTCTTGCTGGGTTCATTTGAGGCTTTTTGTTATATAAGAAAGTGACAGTCCAAATATGTGCATTAAGGCCCGGTTCGCTCGGAAGAATTTGGAGGTGTGAGAGGCCCGGTTCGTCTGGAAGAATTTAGAGAAACGTGAGAGGATGAACAGTGATTTTCAGCCATGCACAGTAAATCCGGCTGGTTTTTTAACAGCCGAACTGCCCCTAAGACAGCTCACCGTATAACAAGCACTGTAAAAAACACAGTAAATGACAACTCAGTTCTCAAACACAATTATGGCATTAACCTATAATTATGATAGCTATGTCTTTCTACAAACTATTCATGTCCCTAGGCCAGTCTCAATCTCAATGGAGATTTTAATAGGATTTTCATTCTCATTTAATAGTGACACATTAGCAAATTAGCTGAGTTGGCACCGTATTAACGAGGAGAGAGGGGAAGGCTTTCATCCGGATGAAACCCGAGCCGCACGGCTACCTAGGCGATGAAACGCAGATGAAACACCGTTGAGAGCGTGGAGTTTCATTTCATCGCTCTCTATCGGATCTGCTACACGACGCCTCCTGCGATCTCCACGAAATCCACTTCGTCCCCCTCTCCTCCGCGACCTCCACGACTGCCACCGGCTGCGCCACCGTCTGCACATGCCCGATGACCAGACCGATCGTCGACGAGGCGGCGCACGGGGAAGCCCTACGCGCTCTGCTGCGACGGCGAGCGGTTCGATGTGCATGGGGCAACGACGTCAGGGAGGACCCGCGCATGGCCGAGATCTTCTGCTGCTGGTCGTCCGTAGCGGAGGAGCCACCAACTGCTGCCGTCGTCGTAGCTCTGTCTCCACATGGGGCAGCGCCATCAGGGAGGAGAGAGCAGAGCGGAGCACTGGCTGGCCGGAATGAGAGCCACAGGCTATCTGAAATTTAGTTATCTGAAACTTGCTATCTGAATCTTAGTTATCTGAAACTTGCAATCTGAAATTTATTTATCTGAAACTTAGTTGTGACTGATAATTCTAGTGTGAAATCAAGCTCACATGTTTAGTGTGAAAGCCGGCATTCAGTTATCTGAAAATGTCCGATGATATAACCTGCCGCATTCAGTTTCTGCTACTGCATCATTGCAGATATTTATGGTGTGAAAGCCTGACATGTCTAGTGTGAAAGCCAGCATTCAGTTATATGAAATGGCTGATGATATTTACTGTTGGCTGGTTTGATGTGAGAGAAAAATACTGTTCGTTTCGTCGTAAACAATCGTGGATTATTTACTGCTAGCTGATTTGGTGTGAGAGAAAAATACTGTTCCAGCTTATAATCCACGATCGTATACGAGCAAACGAACAGGCTGATAACTTTGGCCTTGTACAAGGGACCGCGTACATCTATTCTGAAAGCTTCCTTCACTCGTATATAATCATGTGCCAAACATGTCCGATCACAATATCTTGGATGAGATATATTGTAGTTACTAAAGTGATTATGTTTATTTAAGATATATGACGAATGGCTACATAATTCACATGGTACATAGGATCACAATAACATGCACACAATAATTGCTACGTATTGTCTTGTAAATAGTGAAATGAAATACCCCCACTGAGACATATAGTTTCATTTGTGGCAGTCTTGGAAACAGGGAAATAAAACCCACGACTGGCAACTATATCTAACTATATCACCACTAGCGTGCATTTGGTTGACATCAATGAGTAATTTCATCCACTAACATTAATTATTATAGTCTATATCTCTTCATGAAAACTAAGTTACCTATATTAATGAATTATGTAAGTCTTAACAATTTTAGGTTGTTCAATTTTCATTTCAAACCATATACATCTGTCGCGAATCCAGCAGCAACATGCGGCGTCTCTCTGGCATCTTACACAAAAGGTTATGGTGATTTGAAAATAGTGCAGGATTCCTAATGCAAAATTATTCTTTAGGAACGGAATTTTGGAAACTGTCGATATACTCCCAACTTCTTTTTAGCCACTTGAAAACCTCTTAATTTATCAATTGGTTTTTTGAGAACTATTGGAGATGCTCGAACATCTATTTCATTAGTTGAACAAAATTAGCTAATATTAGTTATGGTCTATTAGCTAGCTAACTATTAATAGTTAAGAGATCCAAATAGTAGTTAATGGATCCATATAGGGCCTAAGCTGGAACATTTGAATGCGAGAAACACCTACTTACAAACAGACGCCTAATCCAACAGCAGAATTCTATTTACAAACACGCACGTTTCAAAATTCTACTGCACAAAAGCAAGAGAATTATAGCTGCCAGTGTGCTAAACGAAGGCCTCGTGCCCGCATGCATCAGTCTCGAAGTCCAAAGTCCAAACGAAGCATTACACCAGCTGGGGAAAGAGCAGAGGCATTAAGTCCAAGGATCTAACAAGGGACGAGAAGAGAAGGGCAAACCCAGTGCCGGAGGCTCCCACATGAATGGGGTCTGGGGAAGGGATAAACCGAGACAAGAAGAGAAACTATAGAGAAATGAAGCAGAATGATCATTACTGGCATGTAACTTTTAGGGCCCAACAAGAGAAAAGGAAAGGCACAGAATGGTTACCGTGTAGTTTCACTTTCTGTCAACATTTGGAAGTCTTTGCAGGCCCCCTTCTTAGCCTCTTTAACTTAAGGAGAGGGACGTCATCTTCAGTTTGTGAGGACACACCTTCAAGATCATCTGAAAAGGGATTTTTTTTAGTTCATGCAAGACAAACAATTGACAAAAACTTGGGAATCTCAGCTGGTATGATGGTCCTACCATCGCTGTTGTTCTTGGGCTTTGATGGGGTGCCACTTGAAGGTTTCTTTCGCTTGTTGACCTCTGGCATACCCAGTACATTATGAGTACAGAATGTGAACAGCTATTTATCTCCATGGTTTTGATCTTGAGCAGAGGAAGTGTATATTATATGATTCAGGGTTACTAGCTACCTTCGCATCTTCTTCATCTTGAGTAATCACCTGAATCTCGAGGTTCTGAGGCCTCATTTCCTTCTTTGGTGTACCTCTTTGCAGGGCAGCCTTATTTTGTTCATCATGTCCAGATCTCTTCTCACCTATCATGATGACGCCTCGTCCCATGTGTTGTTCAGGAATCTCACATTTGCCATTGAATGGTGGCATGTAGCAGAACCTGAAATTCAGAACATCAGGGCTTAAAAACTATCAAAAAGTAATGCCCATGTATAAACTTTAATGAACCAAAACCATAAACTGCGATGTTACACGTAAGTATCTACAAATAGTTTGGAACAGATAATGAATTGAGATCCAATTATTCAGACGATGAGTACTAAAACTGATGCATGAACAACTAAATGTTTATCCAGTAAGGTGAGAAGGCAGCAAAATGATCATCATTAATAAAGAAGTGATATAGTGTGGTTACCATGTCAAATCACTAATTATTCAGTGTGGTGTAACGGTAGCTAAGTGCTCAATAGTAAAATTACTACTTCATAATCACCTGATTATTAATATGTAAAAGAAAGATTAACGCTAACTAAAAGAAGTGCTCTAGCGTTACCAACTTACCATGTAACCAATCAATTGTGTCATTACAGCTTAAGAGTAAGAAGGGCACAATATTAAAATCTTGACTTCATCATGTATGAAAATCCTTCATGACTGCCTGATACAAACCATTCCTCAGGAAGATTGTCTACATTGAAGCCTGCATTCAACATTCTCCATTTACGACAGCTGTAGCACTGAACCCAGTCAGAATCAGGCTTGTGGCGCTCATCCCCTTTTCTCTGGATGAAACAGTTATGAAAGAATCTACAATGAGAACTTCGTCCATATATAATATATAGACATTGAGCTTCTGATGGCACAAGTATAAACAGAGATTGGAAAGAAACTCTCAATCATCCCACCCCCATCCCACTATGTTTAAGATATTAGTATGAACATTTAGCACCTCATGGCCCCATATGCATGAGCAGTAAGGCACGTTAATTTATTCCAGAATAAACAAAATCATAATCCATACCAGCTCGAGACTGTCAAATTTCGTATCCCAGTATTCATCCACTTTCCTACCAAGCCACTCCTCCAGTTTAGCATACATTTCACAATCTTGAAATCCCTGTTTATTGTTCAGAACCCATGAATTACCATCTTCATCATCCTGCAGAAGAACAGAGAAGTTAATTCCATGGATATGAGGCTAAAGGAGAACTGAATTTCTCGCTCTGAACGAAAAACAAAAAATAGGATAGTCATGGTGTAAGCATACAATGAGATTTGTGATATCTGCAACTCCTATTACTCCACGCCCCATGTCAGTACTATGCTTTTGGCCTCCAACCCGCTTGTAAGACTGAAAAGTGAAACACATAATCACAAGTACAACAAAGCAAACATTTACAGCTATAAACTTGGACATGGAAATTTCAATGTAATTCCTGCAGCTTAGATGTTACATCTAAGCTGTCTATTTCCATTTTCAACATAAATGGAGCCACAATTCACTCTCGAGTCTCGACTATAGTCTAGAAGGCAGATTAACTATTAATGCCAGAACAGCTAACCTCACCTCTATCAAACGACCATGCCAACATTTGTTCTGTCCCATTCTACTTTGCTCCTTCCCAGAGTCAACAGAATAGTCCTTCCCATAATTTCACCAGACACAACAGAAGTCTTGTTAAGGGTCTTCACCAACGGGCGGCTTTTGACCTGCCAAGTAAAAAAAAAAAAAAACAGCAAATGAAAACAGGCAACTATAACATAGAAAGAAATGACACAGGAATAACAAAGAGTGCTCAAGAAAATAATATTTACCAAAGACCCTTGGACAGATATCTTCATCCGAGGATTCAAGAACATAACTTCCAGATAGGACTGAAGAGAATAGTCCAACAGCACCTAAGAATACGATCCATAAAAGAAGTGATTCAATGCACAGAATATTAAGAACCATTGCAAACCATGACATGGACAAAGAATATGGTTAGGTTCCAAATCAACCAGGTTCAGAATATCAATGTGTGAGTGGCATGCATCATTATCAAACTACAACAAGCAGTATATATAAAAACATGAAAGCTACAGTATCCCATCAGAAAGCTACAATGAACTTCTGGATCCTACAAGGTGAAATTCAAAATACACCCCTAGAAGTCATGTTTAGTATGGTTGTCTCTTGCCTCAAAGAGATCAAAGTAAATTGATGAAGAGTTACAGAGCATACCTTGTTACTTGTTTGTCCTGGATGTGATCTGACTCTTCTTGAACGGATTAATATGTCTCCACAACCAGGGTGCACAGGATTTTCTGAAGACTTACCAGAATTCCACTCCAAAGTGCATTGAGTACCCCATCTGTCTAAATTCCATATGTAAATTTGTGTCCCAGTACGATCTTCACCAAATAGGCCTAACTTTTCTCCAATGAAATACTCGTTGAACGAAGAAAAATTCTTAATAGCACTCAAGTTATATTCTGCAGTAGCATCAGACTGAACACTCAAATCAACTTCCATGTATTGCCCTTCCTTTCGATATGCCACCACAGGGATCTCAAGGTTCTGCAGCGAATTATCCAATTTAATGCAATACACTACGAGGGAGGCAGGGGGGATGGGGGAGCAATAAGAACAATACATACATCCTTTTCTTCATTAAAAGACTGAGAAAGAAAGGCCACTGATCTGGAGGATTTAGTTTGTGTGAGAACAATTACATCTTTTCCAAGTTTCATAGCGCCAGTCTACATGTACCGCACAGAAAATAGTAACAAAGTTAGTAATAACATCAATCTTCATACAATATAAATCTGTATGCAAAAAAATGATCAGCAAAACTGCAGGCATGATTGAAGTAATGTTTGCAGCGCTAGGACAGCTATGAATCATGAACAGGAACTCTGAAGTGATAATGCTAATATTCATCAGGTCTTATATTAGTATATTTAAACAATAGACATTTTCATTCATGCGAGCTTTTAGGGCAGAAATGATGAAGCATATATCAACTTGAAGGTTAGCACCAGGCAGGGAAAAAAAAGCTAGCTAACAGAAATGACGAATGTAGATCTCTATCGTTGACATAGTAGAATGAACATATCATCTGAGACTGTTGAATAACATACAAACAAATTCTCAGCGTCACACAAATAAGAGCCTTCAGATAAAACTGTTTCAGTCGCACAAAATAATAAAACATATTGTGTTCATCATTGGGATTTAAAGGGTTTATTAGGTGACATAAAGCATAGACCAAATCAATGACGAGGATAGAACGAGAGTGCAATCTAAAACTGTGCCTTTGAGCAGATAGAAACACTGAAATAGAAGATGAAGCCATCTTCAACTGAGAGATTTCTACCTTAAATTAAATCCGATTCCAAATCTCCCAATCTGATCCTCACGATGTTCATTTGGTCGTTTATGGCCAAAAGAGATCATTCTCATCATGTCAGGATAAGTCATTCCATGTCCATCATCAATTACAGATAAGACAGGAATTTTCTTTTGTGCTTTCTTTGAAAACAAATGTTCGATGGAAATACTCACCCTTCCAGGTGTGATGTGCATGTATATCTCATGAGCATTGATCTTTTTCAAGATTTATGCCGGTGTAGCGGTGGAAAGATCATCTTGATGTAGCACGGTCACAATATGCCCATATTTGTCAATGGAAAGGACACTCAAGATCTTTCTCACAACATCGGATAGTGACATTTGAGTAAATCCAAGCCCATTGACTTTCTCTACAAGAACATTCAAACGTGAATACATTTTATTAGCACATTCTTTAGGAAGCATTTCAAAAGAGTTGAGCTTTTTCATGACAAGATGATAGTGTTCCTCACGCTCACTCTTTGTTCCCTCATGGAGCGCACAAACGTCCGACCATAGAGCATGGACGTCTTTGTGGTTCCTTACGCGGTTGAACACATCTTTGCAAAGGCCTCTAAAAATAGTGTCGCGAGCCTTTGCATTCCATTTTTCATAGTTCACTTCATCGTCTTGAAGTTGTGCAGGATTCCTAGGTTTTGGGAACCTATGTGAGGCGGCTCTAAGTATTCCAACGTCTAGAGCTTCTAGGTACGCCTCCATGCGAATTTTCCAACATGAAAAATCTTCCCCCTCGAAGATAGGATGAGGACCATCCCCGTGATACATCTTGCTCTAAGCGATTAAGCTTAAAAACGTGAGCACGAGGCTCTGATACCAATTGAAATGATCAAGAAGCCCAAGAGGGGGGGTGAATTTGGCTAATTCTAAATTTCTTCGCAATAAACAAGTCCTATGGTTAGCCCAATTAACCCCTTGTGCCTAGAGAAGTGTTTCTATTGATCTAACGCACAAAAGTTTAGCAACCTAGTTCCAATCCTACTCTAGCATGGCAATTCTAGAAATGTAAATGACAAGAATTGAAATGCTCAAAGTAAATGATCAAAGTAAAGAGAGGAGAGGAAACGCGATGATATTTTGTCGAGGTATCGAAGAGTCGCCACTCCCCACTAGTCCTCGTTGGAGCACCCACGCAAGGGTGTAGCTCCCCCTTGATCCGCGCAAGGATCAAGTGCTCTCTACGGATTGATTCTTTGACACTCCGTCGCGGTGAATCATCCACAACCGCTCACAACTTGAGTTAGGTCATACACAAGCTCTCCGGATGATCACCAAGCTCCCAATCACCACCAAACCGTCTAGGTGATAACGATCACCAAGAGTAACAAGCACGAACTCTCACTTGACCACAACAAGCCTAGGGAGAAGAGTGGATGCACACTTTGCTACTCTTGATCTTCACTAATGAGGGCTCTCTTTGGATTCTCAAATCTTAATCAACTCACACTTTGCTACTCTTGATCTTCACCAAGAGTACTGATCGAACGCGTCCGGTCGCAGATTCTCTTCTCTGGAACCTTACTGGAGTCGATCGAACGCTGGCCCTCAGCGTCCGGTCACTTGACCTCTCCAGCGTCCGGTCAAACCGGACTAGTTCACCTCAGTCAAATGAACTGACCGGACCCTACGGCCAGCGTCCGGTCGCACCGGAGCCAGCGTCCGATCAGTCTTTGACCCTTCATTCACTTCCAACTCTCGATCATTTGTGAATGAAGTTTGCTCCAAAGGATCTTAGGCATATTTAGGAGCTACCTAGTGCTATTTTTAAGAAGTGTGCACCACACCTAACTCACTAGACTCACCTAGGTCAAGCTACCCATCCATACCCCCCTTAATAGTACGGCCAAAGAAAAAACAAAGTCCTAAACTCCTCTAAGTGTCTCTCCAACTCCAATCGACACTTAGAACTAGTCATCCTTAACCTTGTCGTCCATCCTTTAAAAACCGAAACGATTTCCATCGTAGGGGCATGACAACTATGATTGTCCAATCGATCTCCATTACCGTAACCTAACTTAATTGCCTCTGCAAAACACACGTTAGTCACAGTAATCTAACATTGTCATTAATCACCGAAACCCAATTAGGGACCTAGATGCTTTCACCCCCGCATATCCAGAGTATTATGCCCTCGGTAAGTTCCATACCGGAGGCAAGACTGTAAAGATACACAGAAAGTTAAGTGTCCTCAGCTATAAATACCAAGACCCCTAATGTGAAATCCATTCATTGCCAGGAAATGTACTTTGCTATGGGATTCTGTACACAGTCCTCTTTAGCCTTCCAGAACCTGGCTTGATCCAATGCCCTCCCAAATACCTTGTTTGGACATCATATCTACCAACACTAAACTCTCTTATTCTTCTTAAATCTTAATCCAGATGTCCATGTCATACACTTTTTGTAACAACTTTAGCTACTCACAGCATCCAAAGTGAGAACTCCAGGATGGTAAGTTGGTTGGTCCCTAATCCTGACCCTAATTCTTTCAGAGATAATTAAGGGAACGAAAGGTAGCCTTCTTGTTTAGCATATTTATTCTTTATGTAGAAAATAGTTTACCCTTTTATTATCCGAAAGGAAGCGCATGAACTTTCCCCTTTCAAATTTCTGACGACCGTCTTCAGGATCAGGAAGCAGCAAAAATTTTGGGAAATCACTCTTTTGGTATGCTTTAGTTGGCACAAATGAAATAATTGGCCAAATGGTCGGCCTGCAAAAGGAAAGAATAATTGTGATGTTGTAGAGCACTGTTGCAAGCAAAATAATCATATAGGCATGATTAGAACAGATATAATGGTTCGGAGCTAGTGTTGACCATAGGGACAACAGTGTTGCACATTGCACTGAACCGGTGAAAAGATCATGTGTCCAAGTTAACTTAAGTGGTGTTGATGTGCAATAATACGCTACATAAACATGAACCATCCCATGTTTTCACCAACAGTTTGGTCCAAGTATACAAAGTACTTAATGTAACTAATTTGTCAGAAAAAATGTCAACTTACACTTCTATGGGAAGATCACAAACTTTGGTGCAGCATATGTTCTTACAATCCTTTTGCAACAGCACATAATTCAGGTTGCCACCTACCATAAAAAACTGTGTTCTTCAGGCCAAATCTTGGATAAATTTATTCTATTATATAAATATAGTTGGACAACAGGCCACAAAGGGGAAGCAAAGTTCAAGTTTAAGAAAAATCACAGATTGTGAATGAAGTTCGATGGACAATACATGTTCATACTTCATAAGAGAATTTAGACCCATCCCAAAGTTCAAGCCACATTCCGTCCATGAGCAATTCAATGTACATGGCTACAACTTACAACTGATAATATGCACAAAGTAAATGTGGTAAATTATGAAAACTAAAGTTACAGTTCATACAGAAGGGTGCAATATATAATTTTGAGCAGTACAAGAATTTGCAGAAATGTCATCAGAATTTGTTATGAAAACCCAATCTACACAAAAGTATGTTATTTCATTATAACAAAGTAAGAAACTGACAATTATCAATGACTCTCGTACCTTGATTTTCATGTGGTTGCTCATTCAAATCAAATGTCTCACCTGCTAGAACAACATGAGCATTGGAATGACAATTGATTATATTCGATGATAAGGTAATGCACCTCCAATAAAAAAACTGAGGTAATAAACCTCCATCTAATCTAAACTGAAATCAAGCCTGCGAATTGCATTGAAAGTCAATCAACTATACAAAGTTGAAGAAGAAAATGAAGCCCAAACATAATGCATTCGTAACCAAGAGGCATGTACTACCTCCGTCCCCAAAAGAATGCAATTCTAGCACAGTGTCACGTTTTAGTACCTTAAGTTTGACCAATTATAGATAAAAAAGTATCCATGTTTATGATACCAAATAAATACCATCATATTAATTACAAAATGTATTTTCATAATAAATTAATTTAAAGACATAACTGTGAATATTATTCACTAAAAACTTGGTCAAACATGAATCACTTTTCGTGGCACGCAACCCATAGTTGCATTTTTTCAGGACGGAGGTAGTAAAACATAAAGAGTCCACAACTATTATTAAGATATAGCATAATTACTCTTCCTACTAGATCAAGTCAGCAGGCTACTAGGTGAATTTTCCTTTTCATAGCCAATGGAGCCATAGAAGTTCTATCACAGAAATTGCAAAAAACAAAACCGACACAAATGTCAGCAGATCATTTTTACAGTTAAGTGCCAAATTCCGTATCCAGGCAAATGCTTCAAAGTAACATCAAAATGGAACATATATCAAGAGAACCAATAATAACTTTTGGCATTCCCACCGAACTATCACAATCACATACTCGT